ATTTCCCTGTGTTTTGTCCTCACTCACACAGTTCCGACAATCACTTTCCGGAAGGTCACCCATCCTGAAACTACTCCAGCCTAAACACGCTTAACTGTAGAGTTCTCTCAGGACAGTTAACCGAAAAGATAAGTGCACTTTGGTGACATAGGTGGCCAAATCAATTCTTATAAACCTCTCCGCATGCACCACCATATTCCTGAAACCAGGATGTTACATAAAAGATCCTTGTGATTTTAGTAAAAATCATGTATTATTTATAAGAAACATTGAAAAATATATACTACGTACTAGACAAAAATACATCATGTATACCATATTATATGAAATGATAAAACAACTTAGAAATGTAGGACCTGAATATTTCAACAATATTTCAATCTAATATTTGTAAAGCAATGAACATATAACAAGTAATGAAATACAACAATACCAAAAGAATGATTGAGGAACGAAGATTGACGGTGTGTAAACAAAGTCAAGAATTTTGATGATCTCTCTCCTTAACTCAAAAATCACCCCGTAGTACGACGGTTTGATGATAGTTAGACTTCCATGATAAAATTGTTTCTCCTTTTGATTCGTAACACTCAAATCAAAAGCTAATCGAACGCTAGCCTTGTGTTGTACTCTCAGACTCAAACTAGAGAAGAGAAGAAGAAGAAGGAGATTGTTATGTTGGTGAACGATCAACTAAATGACAAACAATGGTTTTATACCCAAAATCTCAACGTTCCACACAATTAAGAGTGAGTATACGACACTTACGAGAATTGATTCTCAATTTCAAAATCAAAAGAATTAATCCACGTTAATTGTCGTTGATCGAGATTCACTACAAGAAATATGAATATTCTTAACACACCGAAAACTCTACAATATCGTTTACATGACGGACTCATAAACGCTGTCTTTGCCGGAGCTATCTTAGAGGGGCACTTACAATATTACTTTTTAGACATGCTATTAAATGTATCTATATAATAGCGTATCGTATCTGTTACTGTAAAATCATTATGTAGCAAAAACTTTCGCTATTTATTATTAATGTATAGCAATATTTGTTTGCTATTTCATTGTATATAGTAGCGAATTGTTTTCATTACAAGTTTCTCTTTTGTAATTATATAGTATTGTTATAATTTATTTACCTGTAGCATAATATTTATATTATAATTTTGTATTATGTAGCTATGATGATTTGCCAAGCTCTATATACGAAGATTTTTTTGCATTAGGTTATTATGGTCTCTATTTCTGATTTCAGCTGCTATTGATTCAATATTTGCTATTCAATTTTTTTTTTTTTTTAAAAAAAAAGTCAATAACATATCATCAAATTATCCCAAAACTTACAAGTACCAAACATTACATTGATCCATGTGTTCAAGTATCAAATCATACCAAAAGTTTTGAATCATATGCAACAAAATCTAAAGTACCAAAATAAGCTTCTTACTTCTGTTTAGACTAGCACCACTTTGTCCACCGGCCATGCTACAGTTGTACCCAACGCATCCTCCCTACACTCAACAGTATGAGAAGGCCTCCAGACCTCTATATCATTAACCCTCACTACATCTACCCAGGCGCAAACTCCATTAGGTCCAAAAGGCTTAAAGTGAACTTCCATGCTAGGATCGTTTCAAGACCAACGTCCTTCAGCCACAACCCTCTTCAATTCTGTAATATCCTAAGAAATCTTGTCGCTTGGACTAACCTTTGAAAGAAAGTGTTGAAATTGTTAGGTCCTCTGCAAGATCTGGAAAATATATAACTCAAATTAGCAAAGAACCCTATATCGAACCATAAATCGGAAGAACCATAACATATAACGAACTAATTTTGAAAACAGGAAGAACCCTAATTTAGAATTAATTGAATCGACTAATAAGTGAAGTAAAGGACAACGACGGATATAGTTACCGATATTGTCACGGAGCTGATGATTTTCAGATGCCGGTGAGTCGAGATTGTGAATCAAGCCGGTGAAGATGTTGACAGTCGGCGGAGAGCTCGACAGTCTCGGACTGGGGAAAAAGGTTTTTTTTTTTTTTTTTTTTGTCTACTAAGTGATGTTTCAGTTTCCGACTAAGTGAAATAATTTGCTTAAGGCGCTTAATTTTTACTAAGTGTTGGCGGAAAACCATGTTTTACGTTCCTACTTAGATATATTTAGGTTTAACGTTTTTATTACGCTATTATATAGTCTCATTTCCCGATAAAATTCTCTTATAGTATTTACGAAAACTACGCTATGCTTTTATGCTATCAATGCACGTATTTCTTGTAGTGATTGTTGCTACAAAACCTAATATTAAAGGAGATATTTATTGATTAAATTAACAAATTAAATCAAAACAGAAAATAAGGATAATCTTATGGCTTATAAGCCCATTTTCCATTTATCAAATCCCAAATACATCCCATGTGTAATCGGGTTTCTCCATTAACTTCCAAAATAGGCCATTTGACTCTATGTCAAAATTCCAAACTTTACAAGCTACCCACTACGGACATCCATTTCTCAATGAAACAAATTTCTTTTTTGACATTCAAATACACTACCATGTAAGGCATGCAGCGATGGTTACATCGTGCCCAAGAACCGGTCATTCCGATGAACGTCTTCACCGGAAAATCCACTGAAAATGGCCATGGCTGGCTTCTCTTCGGACGCGGCTACATGGCTCTCTTCAATCGAGTGTAAAAAATATTTGGCAGATCGAATGAGATAATTCCACTTCGAGGCGAGTCTTGACTACTTCAGCTTTTCATAGACTCCAAAAACGCTAAATTTGGTGCTGATAACGTCTTCAACGGCTGCCAAACTTCCAATGGTCCAAAACTGTCTTGAATGTTCATTTTCCTTCATTTATCCTCTTTCTTCCTTAAAACCTGGAAAGACTCTAAAGAAGATAAAATGTGATAAACGCTAATTTAAAACATTAGAAGTTAAAAGGGGCGAAATATTATGTTATCAGGGATAAAGAGAGATTTACGTGGCAGAGAGAGAGATATGAAGAGATTTGGGGCGATGAGAGGGAGAGAGAGGAGATTTGCTTGACCCCTTCTCTAAACATACGCAATGGTAACACTGGATTTGATATCTTAAGTGTTACCGATTAAGGAAAGTTCTTAGTTTTTTTACAGAATAAACTTGAAATCGATGAAATTTGGATTAGTCTCCTACGAACATGTAAATTAAGAAAATTTGGGTGATTTGATCAAAGTATATACTAAAACACATCGATCTTACCAAATTTGAGAACGAATCTCTAGAAATTTTTGGATTTCCAATAATCTTCTGTGGATTCCATACGTATGTGCTCGCAGTCATCTCATAGAGTACTATGGAAATCGAAATCTAGGGGTAAGGTGTAACAGCCCCGGAGCGTCCTAAAACTAAAAAGGAAATAAGGGTGTAACGTATGACGTCCGTAATCAGTCAACATAGGTTATCAGAATGAATCTGTTCGCCAAAGTAGACCCACCGCGAGTATCTTTACCTCCCGACCATGGCCTAAGGCTTTTCAACCCATACCACGATCATGCGTTGTGTCAGTCCGGACGGGACTGATATATCATTCAGACTCTTTCGGATTTTAGAAACCGCTTCTTTACTTAGTATAGTATCGTACTAAAATCGTTACCAAAACATGTATACTTTCCGAGCCCATTTAGAAACCTATACATAATAAAATTTATCGAGTTTTAGCAAAAAGTTGTAAGTCATCTATTCTGACCGTCGTAGGATCACCGCATCGGCTAAGGGACTTACAACTTCTTTTCATACGATACTATAAATTCAACCTAAGGCCTTTAAACTTATGCAATACGGATTTCCCACTAGGCAATGTTTTTCCGACCCTTAGCCACAAAGGATAAAAATATCACATTCCTTTCCCAAACCGTTAATAAGAGACCTAAATCCTTTAACAACATAATTATTACTACTTCATCAAGCAGCTCGAGGGTAGCGATACACTCTGAGCCCTTGGGAAAATCTTGGAATCGCCATGCTATAGTCATAAAAATGACTAACGACTCAACCTTATTACAAGTATAACTAACAAAGAAAAATACTCATAACATCTATACTAGCAAGCAATCACTCAACATTAACCTAGCATAAGAAAGACTAACACAAACAATTAAGAATCAATACACAACAACCTAAGATGCTTGCTACCAACAACATTATAAAATTAAATTACAATCAACAAACAATGCAATTTATTTCCGTCAATTATGACCAATTAATGACTCAAAAATAAACGAACAACATAACGGCTAATACGATGGCAATGGCATAACCGAGAATACTAACGACTAAACTACTTTAGTCAAACAATTCATGCAATAATATTTATGAACTAATAAAATTAGAACATGAACCTAACATGCAACGATAAAATTACCGTAATAAATTACGATAATCTATATACAGAAACATGGTGTAATAGATCAGATTTCACTACAAGAAAACAGCTTAAAACTTACGGGTGCTTCTATCAATTTTCCGTCAGAAACAGCTATAACCCGATGGAAAATTGACGGACCCGTCCGTCGGTTCTAGAGCGTCGGTAACTAAAATCCGTCAGTAATTCATCATAAATTATTGACGGATTTCCGAGGGGCATATTACCGACAGGTTACTGACAGTCGTTATCGTCAGTAAACCCATAGAAAATCCGTCGGTATACATCATCGGTAATCCGTCGGTTACATTTTTCAAACGGATTACCGATGGGGTATTGCTAATGAAAATAATCGAATTTCTCCGTCATTACCGACGGATTACTGAGAGATGTTACGAAAAAACTCCGTCATTACTGACGGATAACTGAGGGATATTTCGAAAAATCTCCGTCTTAACCGACGGATGTTACGAAAAATTCTCCGTTACAACCGACGGATTACCGACGGTTTTTTTTTTTTTTAAATATATTTTCAAATAAATAAAATTATTGAAATTTTTTAGAAAATAAATATTTAAATTATAAATTAAGAAATTGCATTAATATTTAAATTCAGAATTATTAATGAAAACATTTTAAATCCATAAACAACAAATTGTTCAAAACATAGATGGAAACCATAAAAATCACGGCAACTTCGCACGCATCTCATTCATGAACGTTGCCATCTCCTCATCCCTCTTCTTGTACTCCGCGTCTCGCCGCATGTTCTCCGCTTTCTGTTCTTCTAATGCCGCTCTTTGTTCTTCCATTTCTTTTTACAAAGTCGCAATCCGCTCATTCTTTTCTTCCATGGCTTTCTCGAAATCGACATGCGAAGGATATGAGAAACCCGAGGAACGAGAAGAAGATGATATTTGAGATAGATTTCCTAACCCAAAAATCCGTCCCTTGGATTTATGGGTTTCCTACAAGTCAAATAAGAAAAGTTAGTTAAACAACTTTAAAATAATAAATAAAACATAGAAACAAATATTACCTCGTATAGAATTTCGTTCATCTTCTCTCGTCCCAATTCGGGGGAAGTCACCGAACCATCAACAGATTGGGAAAGAAGTTCTGTCTCTTTACGCCTTCACGTTTTCGAGAACCATCTTTGCTCGACCATCTTGTACTTGCTTTGTTTCTTTGTTGGTGTTCATATCCTCCATCAAAGTAAGATTATCGGGTACCACACCATCTCTAACAGTCTATACAAAACATTTATAAAAAGTTTAAAGACGGCATAAAAATTAATTAAAAGTAGAAATTAAAAAAAAAAACTCACAAGTTGTCGTTGTCGACTAGAGGCGCTCGTTGCACCTGCGTTTTGCGTAGCAATGCCCAACCCGCCTCGGTTGCTTTTTCTGTTCTTTGAATTCTTCTTGGAAAGTGATATCGTTTCCGGTTTACCCCAATAGCGAATCAAACCATTAAAGACTTCTTGGTTCGCCCCTTTTGGCATCTTTCCTCTAATCCACTTTCGCTTCCACTCGTGCAAAGTGTAAGAGTAATGTTTAGCGGCAATTTTCTTGAACGCTTTGCGAACATCATTTGTGAAATCCCGATGCCAAGTAAAATCTTGCTACAAATTATAAAAAAATGGATTAGTAAATTAAAAAACAAAAACACTAAAATTAAGAAATTAAGATTGAAATGTTACCGCAAATTGCTTCAACCAAATCTCTTGCTCGTCGGAAGGCATCTCCGAGAACTTTGGATATGGTGTTTTGAGAATTCCATGCATCATCCGCAAAATAGATTTGGTGATACCATTATGAGATAGATGAAACCTACAATTGAAAAAAATATCAATATCAATTAAACCAAGTTAGTTATACACTTACATAATATGCTAACCAAGATGAAAAATCTCCTTGCTTATGCTTCTCAAGTTGCTCCTCTGTATATGTCGGGTAGTAAGAGCGTATTAATGCCATGTAGATCCTATCATATATAAACCAAAAAAAATGTGAGAAATTATGAAATTAATAATTAAACGAGAATATTAATAAAGATTTAACTAGAAAATATTAATAAAGATTTAACTAGAAAATATTTAACTATAAAATATCAATAATTATGTAAATAAAGATTTAACTAGAAAATATTTAACTAGAAAATATTTAACTAGAAAATATTAATAATTACGTAAATAAAGATTTAACTAGAAAATATTTAAAAATTAAGAATCTACCTCTCATATTCCATAATATCATCACAGTTTGTGAGAATATACATATGCAAGTGTGTATACTCTTGATGCGATAGTTGGCGATTCTTCCTTATTCCACTAAGTTTGGTACATATACCGAATAACTAGCTCTTTCTCCTCCATCATCATGACGAGTAGGACGTCGTTTCTTCGTACGAACTTGTGCTGGAAAATAGAATTCGGCGAAGTGTGAAGCTTCTTCGTTTATGCTTTGTGCCACAATAGAGCCTTCAACTTTGCTTAGATTTTTCACCTTCTTCTTCAAATGGAACATATACCGCTCAAAAGGATACATCCATCGGTATTGGACAGGCCCACCAAGCGCAGCTTCTCGCGGAAGGTGAATTGGTAGATGCTCCATAACATCAAAGAAAGATGGAGGAAATATCTTCTCAAGATTGCAAATGATCATTGGTATATTTTCTTCCAAGTTGCGAATACCATCAACTGTAAGTGTTCTCGAACATAAATCCCGAAAGAATGCACCAACCCCTATGTATGAAATCAAGAAGATATGAATATATAAATATAAAAAAAAAATATAAGAAAAAAAGGAGATGATAATAAATATACCTGCAATTGCTTGGTGGACGTTTGGTGCCAAGAGATGCTCAAAGGCAAATGGAAGAAGGCGCTGCATCACAACATGACAATCATGACTCTTCATTCCAGCAAACTTTCCTTCATCCATGTCAACACAATTACGTAAATTAGATGCGTATCCGTCAGGAAACTTAACATGGTGGATAATCCAGTTGAAGAACGCTTCCATCTTTCGCGAGTCTAACCGAAACGTCGGAACTGGACATCTACCATTTTCCAGTACATGAAGCTGATCGCGATCGCAAATATCAGGCAAATCCAATCTAGATTTTAGATTATCTTTTGTCTTTCCGTGGACATTTAGAACGGTGTTCATGAGGTTGTCATGCATGTTCTTCTCGACGTGCATGACATCTAGATTATGCCTCAACAGAAGGTTTTTTCAATAGGGCAATTTCCAAAAAATGCTTTTCTTATGCCAGTTGTGATTGATGCCAGCACCGTAAACAACAACATGTCCATTACCACCACAATCAGGAGTCATCTCCGCTCCAAAATCTCGTAACTATTCTAGTAAACTATGCCCATCGATCTCAGGAGGTGGCGCATCAACCACTTGCTTATTCTTTCTAAACAATGTTCTCGTACGCCGGTAAGGATGATGAGAAGGTAAAAATCGTCTATGGCAATCAAACCAACTCGTCTTACGTCCGTGCCTTAACTGAAACGCATCTGTGTTATCTTGACAGTACAGACAAGATAATTTTCCATGAGTTGTCCATCCAGATAGCATCCCATAAGCTTGAAAGTCACTAATAGTCCACATAAGTACTGCACGCATCTGGAAATTCTGTTGGGTTGATACATCATATGCGTTTACACCATGATCCCAATTGCAACTCATATATCAATGGCTGTAGAAACACATCAAGTGATCTCTTTGGATGATCTGGACCGGGAACAAGGATAGAAAGGAACAAAAACTCTCGACGCATGCATAAAGATGGCGGCAAGGTGTAAGGTGTTACGATTACTGGCCACAATGAATATTGCCTTCCATGCTTTCCAAATGGGTTGAAACCATCTGGACATAATCCTAGATACACGTTCGGTCGCTCATACGCAAAATCCGGATACACAGATTGAAAATGTTTCCATGCTTCAGCATCTGAAGGATGCGTAATCTCTCCATCTGATCTATGTTCTGCATGCCATCTCATTGGACCCGCCGTACGCTCAGAGTGATATAACCGCTTCAACCTTTTCTGTTAACGGTAAATACCACATCCGCTTATGTGGAACAGGAATCCGACCGCCGGTTTGTTGATATCTTGGTTTACGACAAAATCGACATCTAGTCCGATTTTTGTCTTCTCTCCAATAAATCATGCAATTGTCTTCGCATACATCTATCATCTGATACGACAAACCAAGACCGGCAACTAACTTCTGAATCTCATAATATGTACCTGGAAATTGATTATCTTCAGGCAAAATATCTTTTACAAAATCTGTAATCGCATCCACAAATTCCTCAGCCAAATTATAGTCCGTCTTTATGGTCATCAATCTGCTTGCAGATGTTAAAGCCGAATGACCTGCTCTACATCCTCCATATAGTGGTTGTTTAGCTGCATCCAACATAGAAAAAAACTTTTGTGCTTCTGCATTAGGTTCCTCTAACCTATCAACATTTTCGCCCACAGAATGCATATTTTCCCTATACGCGTCATTCACCATCTAAACAGTACCTACACCATAATATACTTCCGTTCTAGGTTCCTCTACGCTACCAGCAATATATGGTTCGCTAGCACTAGAATATTCAGGTCTTTCACCATGAAGAAACCAAATCTTGTAACCCGGCATAAAACCATTGGAATAAAGATGACTCCATACTAAATCAATCCTTATATTATGAGAATTTCGACAAATCGAACATGGACATTTCAACTTATGGGTTTTCTTGGCACTAGGTTGTTCACAAGCTAAATCCATGAACTCGCCTACACCACGGGCGTACTCATCTCTCAATTCGTGCGACTCCGGATCTAGCATTGGTTCATCCATCCACGATCAAAAATAATAAGAAGAAGACATTTTTCGGATTTTTTTAAAACAAAGAGTGAATATGAGTGAGATGATGAGAATGAAGTGAGTTTGGGTATTTATAGAAAAAAGACATCTCATATCCGTCAGTAATCTGTTGGTGTTCCGTCAGTATATTTGAACTTTAAAACGGATATAAAACGGCTATAATAACAGATATTTTTTTTTACCGATTACTGACAGCATAAATTAACGGTAATAATCGCACCAGTATTCCGTCAGAAAATAGAAAATATTACCAACGAATATTTTGCTGTCAGTAAATTACCTTTAGTTTGTTTGAACTTTTTAACGGTTACACGAACGGATATATTTTCTGACCGATTACTGATAGGATATATTATCGGTAACTATCCCTTAGTAATCCGTCAGAAATTAAACACAATTACCGACGGAAAATATGCCGTCAGTAAATTACCAACGGTAAACCGACGGGAAGCGATCCGTCAAACAACGATCAGTTTTCCGTCGGTAATTACCGACGGATATTTAACCGTCAGTAAAACCGTCAGTTTATACTGTGTTTTCTTGTAGTGAATTATAATTTATATAATTAATTTCGGTAGATGATCATACAATTAATTTTCAGATTTTTTAAAGTATATATACACAATAACACAAAGAACAACCACTCAGTCCACACTAATATGCTGGGTAATGAGTCACAAAAGTGGATCATCAAATTTTACACTATGGTTCTGAATGGAGATAGCGAATCAGGCGAATCAAGAAGAACAAGTGATGATCAAGCGGATCTGGCAAAACAAATGCGGATCTGACTGCTTAAAATATGATCATTTTTTGTTGAATTTAGTTATGCTTATTCCTATTAAAATGGACCTACCTGTTTGTTTTCATGATCACGATTTTTAAAAAAAAGTAGGTAAGAAATCAGATATTTGCTAAAACACAGATTAAAAATGGGAAAAATGTCGTTTTATCTCCCAACTTTCAAAAAGTGGCCAATCAATACGTCAACTTCATATGTGGCCATTTAAAACATGAAATAAATGTTGACTAACGTTTGAGACATAGAAATTCGTTGACCAGGCCAAAATAGACATGCCGTTATCAGTCGTTAACGGAACCTCTAACGCCCGTTATCACCCGTAACGACTCTGTTAATCAACTTTCAAATTGTGGCCATTTTAAACATCAACTTCATATTTGGCCATTCAAAACATGAACTAATCGTTGACTAACATTTGAAACATTAGAATTCGTTGACTAACATTTGAAACATTAGAATTCGTTGACCAGGCCAAAATAGACATGTCGTCATCATTCGTTGAAAGAACCTATAACATCCGTTATCACCCGTTAATGACACTGTTAGTATGTCCAAAAAGATTTTTCCCAAATGAAAACACCAAATCCCCAAATCTATTTCTACAACAGCTTAAACAAGATGAATAGTCCTATTATCTTTATCTCTATTTCAGAAAAGCTACATTTAGTCTAGGCCTGGGCATAATACCCGAACCCGAAGAACCGAACCGAACCCGACCCAAAAAATCTGACCCGAACCCGAACCCGAAGTTTTAAAATACTCGAACGGATTCTAAACTGGACAACCCGAAAACCCGAACCCGACCCGAACTCGAACCCGAAGAAGTACCCGAACATACCCAAAATATAAGTACATAGTTATAGTATATTAGTAATATTTATACTTGTAATAACCTAAGTGCCAAAATTATTCGGATGTTAAGATATTTTCGGGTGTTTTAGCTACTTTGGGTTAGATTCGGGTTAAAATACTTGGGTTTTATAGATTTTTTGTGTATTTTTCAATACTTTGCATAGGATCGGATACAAAATTTCTAATATTTGGATACTTTGGGTAAACCCGAATCCGAACCCGAAATACCCGATCCGAACCCGACCCGAACCCGGAGTTTTAAAATACCCGAACGGATCTTAGTTTTCTAAACTCGAAAAACACAAACCCGAAAATTAAAACCCGACCCGAACCCGACCCGAATATCCGAACGCCCATGCCTATTTTAGTCCTATGATGGGTCTACAAGTTTGCTTCCATGATTCCTTTTTAGATTTAAAAAAAATATATAAACGATGTTTGCTTCCAATCACTGGCTCTACGATTGTCTATATATCAAACCATGTCCTTGGATTATGCTTTAAACAAAAAATTTGTCCTCGATTATTTTCAAAACGACGTCGTTTGGATATACTAACAGAGTCGTTAACGGGTGATAACGGATGTTATAGGTTTTTTTAACGAATGATGACGACATGTCTATTTTGGCCTGGTCAACGAATTCTCATGTTTCAAATGTTAGTCAACGATTAGTTCATGTTTTAAATGGCCACATATGAAGTTGATGTTTAAAATGGCCACAATTTGAAAGTTGATTAACAGAGTCATTATGGGTGATAACGGGCGTTAGAAGTTCCATTAACGACTGATAACGGCATGTCTATTTTGGCATGGTCAACGAATTTTCATGTCTCAAACGTTAGTCAACGTTTATTTCATGTTTAAAATGGCCACATACGAAGTTGACGTATTGATTGGCCACTTTTTGAAAGTTGGGAGATAAAACGACATTTTTCCCGATTAAAAATGTCTAAAAAAATATTACTGACAAGAAAAGTGTTCAAAAGTATGTTTGGGTGTGAATATATGCATAAAACAAAGCGGCCTCATGCAAAGGAGGTTCAGCAAAGAGCTCTCACTCTTTTTGACTACGGAGTGTTTTTCCTAGAAACAGAACACGACATGCATAGAGGAAAAGGACAGAATCAATATCTGATTCTTACAATAAATGAAATTCGAAAAGCTTGTAGGCATGCTGATGATAAAACTCTAACATAACTTACATACACAATAGAATAGAGAAGAAGGAGACGGAAGTACGGAACCAATGGTAACTTTTATTCTCTTGTGAATGATCATTAATCCAATTATTGTATATGATATAAAAACACATAGAAATTAGCTATAAAAACGTGCCAATAAATCAATAAACATAAACACAAATACGAAAATGCATATGCCCGCGGCGTAGCGCGAGTATTCACCTAGTTACTCTAGTGTTTACCAATCGGATATCCTAAGTGAAAAGTCAGTTTAACACTCAAAATTTGGGTTTTCCCGAACCTTTTTATCACTTCATCTCGAATACGAGTACATAAAATAAGTTATTTGAATTGGTAACAGCAAAAAAAATATATATATCAAACAACAAAATTAAATTTAGTTAAGTAATTGCCTTTAAATCCTATGATCAAGCTGTAGCCGAAGCTGGCTCAATGTTTTTTGCTCTGCCGAGGAACTTTGCGGCGGTTATTCCGTTGTTTAGGCTGAAGGTCCTCAGACATGGCCGATGGTATTTTGAGACTTTTCAAGATCTTACAAGTGGCTTTTTTCGCAGATTTATGTTCTAGGAAAAAAAAATTATTGTCTTCCAAGTCAAACCTCAAATACTCGTTGGAACATTCCTCTATAAGCTGACATAGATGCTTCAAATTATCCACTTCCACTCCATTCAATTTCTTCACCTATATACACCATAAATATGTATTCAAGGAAAAGACTTTTCAAGTAACTCGAGTGAGAAACTAAGTAAACAATAAATACATTACCTGTAAATCTTCAAAAATACTGAGACCTGAAGTGATATCATCCTCTAAAATCTGTACGAGGAAACAAAACTTTAGCTCTCAAAATTATCACGTTTAAAAAGTTAAATGCGGAAAAAAAAAAAACACGAACCTGAGAAATTATTACAATTTGTTCACCGGCTTTTGTGGGCATCTTTTTAACACAACATTCGCAAATATAAGAACGATCAATGTATGGTTGAGTTAGAGGTACAAAAACAAGACCCCCATATATATAATAACTTGGAGGCATGTCATATTGATTCACTGGAACTAGAGGTTGCACCTGCATACAATATTTAACAGTAAAAATCGTTCACATTACATAATATATATTATGTGTTCTCACAAAATGTAACCAACTATTTACTTCTTAAAAATTCGAACGACAACTTACGGGTTTTAGGCTTATATTGAACTCGTGTTCTTTCCCTTCTCTTAAGACTTTAAATGACGCTGTATCACATGGTTTCTTCATAGAAACCAAATGCTTGAAACTTACTCGGTCCTGTTTACGAAAAGGAACTATAGACATAGGAAAGTTTAGTAAATTGGGTGTAAATGAAAATAATTATATATAAACACACACAGTATGATTACCTGTACTATAATTTCCTATAGAAACACCATCAATAGCAAGAATATATAACATCATCTTTTTTCAGAACTTTGTGAGCATCCGAAAGTGGGTTTATACTTTTTACAGCAATCCCTGTCATTTCCTTGCCCATCTTTAAGGCGTTACGGGTGTGGGCATGCTCCATAGTTAGATATGATAAATTCATTGAGCAGAAACTAAAATGTTGACCACTTTCTTCAACACCATTTAAAAAATGTCTAATGACTGGAGTTGGAATTATGTAGCTGCAAATGAAAAACATAAAATAGTTATACACTAATACTCTTAGTTAATTTAACCTTTTGTTTGCAAACAGAACAAAAAATGCAAACCACAAATTCGAAATATAAGCTTATTGAGAAATAGACTTTCATAGTAAAATAGATATTTGAAATCTGCAACCCAACTTACTCAAGATTTATGTTTTTAACTCACCCTATAAGTTCAGAACAGCAACGGCTTTCAAATGCTACACCAACCACTTTGTTTCCCATGATTACCGGACCGCCACTATTTCCAGAGTTTATAGCTGCATCTATTTGTATTTTCAATAACTCGGTGGAGCTGTGACTGTATCTTCTCAGTACAACTCTCGACACAACACCTTGCGTAACGGATATACTATCACCACCTGCATTCAACATTTGAGCAGGTACGTAACTAACTAACCATTTATTTACAAGTACACAGAAGAGAAATTGTTTTGACTCACCACCTATCACATATTCCCCATAACAATAATTTCTACGTAATTAATGCAATGCAAGATATTAATCCTTTTCTCAAGGCCATTCATAATTCAAAGTATCATGGATTTTTAAAAAAAAATATGTTTATGTATACCCAACATAGCTGCTAACCAATCTTGGTAAGATATTCAAAAATCTATCAATCGAAACATAAAAAATTCGTCTTCATTAACAAACATCTTAAAAATCATTAAAACTACCTTCTGGATAGCCAACGACCGCCACAGAATCCATTTGGGAGGGTATGTCTCCCAGCTCCAAATGGGTAAGACCCTCCCAAAACTCTTCGTTATCGATCTCCAAGATGGCCAAATCACATTCGTGACCAACCACTTGAACTTTTGCTTTGTACTTTTTGGGTGAACCATGCTTTCGGACTTTAACAGATGTTTGATCAGCTACTACATGAGCATTCGTAAGAATCCTCTTTCCCGAGATTACAAAACCTACAACCATTCCAAGCTAAGTATGTAAGCCAAACCAAAAATTCCTACTCTTTTATAGAAAAGAAAAATTTCCTAAAGTATTATTTGATTAAAATTATCAATACCAGAGCCGGTGCATTCACTCTGCATACTAATCTGCCAAGGTTGAAAAATTCTATGCTTGCTAGAGACGATGAACACCTTCACCACCGAGTTGAGGGCCAAATCAATGGCAGAAGTAGTCATATTTTCTGCTGCATCATCACTAGATACTTCTTTCACTGGCAGAAACTTATTCTTCCAATCTTGAAAGATGCTAAAGACCGGGAAGTTCTTCAGCACTGACTTCGACTTATTCTCTTCAAAATCCATTGGTGCAGTATCAGAAGAAAAGAAACGGATATTAGAAGATGGACTGGCGAAAATTGCCGTCTTCGGGGCTACATTGCCGCGAAGAAGAAGGAATCCAGGAAGAGCGCAAGATAAGCTGCGAAACCCGGACACGGTACGAACACAGCGGAATGACATTGGTGCAGTTTATAGTTGACACGGTAAGAGTAGTTTAACTTACACCAATAGGTTGTGATATATATTATATATATACTCCCTCTGTTTCACAAAGAGTGTCATTTTAGAGATTAAGAAAACATTAAATTTTTTGTTTTTTCTAAACAAAAACATCATTAACTATATACCTAAACATAATCTGCCCAATAGTAAAACAATATCCAGAATACTAATAGTCATAAAACATAAAAAATCATTAAATTTTGCATTGAAAACCTAAAACGACATTCTTTGTGAAACAAAAATAAAACCTTAAAACGACACTCTTTATGAAACGGAGGAAGTATTACATAATTTACCAAAAAAGGAAAGGACTAAATTCGTTATATATAAGATGTGCATTGTTTCCGTTTATTAAATGTAAAATTTTCAAATTCCAAAACCATAACTTCCTAATTAATGATGCACTCTGTATGAGATATGTTTTATTTCCAAATGAATAGCTATGAACTTCCTTATGATTTATAGGACAAAAAAATTAATATACAGTTTTTCTATAACGGTGATTATGTATTACTGCCAAAAAAAAAAAAAAAACTGCCGAAAGTTTTTACCCAATCAACAGCCTCAAGTTAACATAATGTACGTTTTTTCCATTGACGTGTAAATCTTAACAAAAATTAATATTAACATTTTTTTCCCCTAAAAGATTTTATCAAAGAGACAAAGCCAGCAAGGATCCACATGCTTCCGAAAACAAAACCAAACGAGTTGAAAGACGACATCCCTCGACACCAAAAGCCGGAAGAACAAAGATATTTTCGTGGACACTAAAAAAAACTAGACCCAAAAGCTAGAGTACAACTGAAAACAGATCATAAATCTTAGGGAAAATTACTAGATTGACCAAATAATGAATTTAATTATTAGAATGTCTCATAAAATTAGGGGGTTAGATGGGTTATTTTCATGACGATAATACCCTTTTTCTCTTTGTTAGGAAAAAAAAAAGTCAAATTTGCTCTCAAATTTTTTCGAAAAACGTGAGAAAAAAACTTAGGAAATTTTTTTGGTTTTTTAAAAGTCTGCTGGATTCGTTATGACAGGTTTATTTTCAATGGCAGACTTATTTATCAACGACAGATTTTCTGTGACAGATTTTTTATCTCTCACAGACTTAATTTAATAAGTTATGACAGATATTTATTTTGTTGTAGTTTTTTACTCCACTACAGACTTATTTTTTTATGACACCACAGACTTTCATCACTTTGATAGATTTATTAAAATTAGTGGCAGATTTATGTTTATAGTGGCCACAGACTTTTTATTTTTATAAAATTATCTGTCATCAAGTGACAGATTTGTTTTTGGAAAAATAATTACTAGAATGACTTAGTATTGATAACAGATTTTTTTAATGTTATGACAGTTTTTATTTTTTAAACAAAAAAACTGTCGAGTGATAGCAGATTTGTCATACAAAAAAAAAAATTGCTAGATTGACATACAATCGCAAATGAAATATTTCTGTGATGACAGATTTTATTTACATTACGACAGATTTATGATTAGTTCAAAAAAAACTGTCACATTACGACAGATTTAGTGATGAAAAAAGAAATTGCTGGAATGACTTCATATAGTGATGACAGATATGTTTTAAACAATGACAAATTTTAATTTTTATTCATATTATGACAGATTTTATATATCTATTTGATGACAGACTTTTCATGATGGACTACATATTTTAAGAATGACAAATCGTAAGTCTTCGTCTGAGTCGAGAAAGTGACTGAGTTTTAATCAATGAGGCTGAGAAAAAAAAAATGAGGCTGAGAAAAAAACGTGAAAGGCAGTCGTAATTTAGGGCTAGTTGTTTTTTTTTTTGTTTTGTTAGGGTTTTGTAATTCTAATTTAAATGTTATATTGTTTGATTTTTTTAAAAGCCTAATAAAATTGAATTGGGTTTTTGGTCATTTTACCCAAAATTTGTGTTAGTCTAGTAAACTACAAAACTAGGGTGTCAATCTAGTTATTAATCTCTAAATTTGAGTCAATCTGGGTAATTTTCAGTAAACCTTAACATCAAAACATCACTACAAGGTAAAACAGCAACGAAAAAGAGAATTATATGTAGAAGAGCATCCAAATGCCGAAATCTATATAGTGTAAATATATTAAAAAAAAATTATAATGAAAACCTTTTTTTAAAAGAATTTCAAAATTTTCAATTATATAAGTTCTAAATATTTTAAAAACAAAAAGTTCTGCTTTTTCTAATTATATCTTATTTCAACTTTAAAAAAAAAAAACAGAGTAAATTGATGATTTGTGGCTTCTATTGGTATCCTATTTCAGTCTCTTCCATATATTTTGTTAGTCTGGATTCTCATTTCTGTAAGATCACGAGTTCTACGATGTGGCAAAACTGAATAATTACAATAGGTGATGATGAGAACCATGATTAAGATACTACAACCCGATACCAATATTTGATAAACAAAGATTGGTTTGTGCGGAGGCGAGACACTCTTTCCTTAATTTTTTAACTATCCATAGTGTGACGGTTTGATGCAATCATAATCCCAAGTTACAACCACACCATCTTTTGATTTGCAATACTTAAAAACAGAAGTCTAACGAATCCTAGTCATGTGTGTACTTTCAGACTCGATAACTAGAGAAAACTGAAAAGAAGAAAAAGGAGATTGTTGTATTTATAATCGATCTTTCAGTGAGCAAAAATGGGAAGATGAAGCCTTGATTTTATAATCCAAGCTTCCAACGTAAGAAATGGAGTAATAAGAATTCATTCTCAACAATTCTTAATGATAGTCATTCATTACAACCTTATCATTAATTGATTTGGCCATTTTACGTAGTAATATAAGTCAGATGATCGAGAGGCAATTAGTACGGATAAATTATTAACGGACCTAAGGAGATGTATGAGTCTTGATCCAGAACCTTCTAATTATCAATATATATGTAAAATTGATTTAACTGGTATATCATATTAATATCCGAGCATTATAACCGAATTATAAAACAGCAGAATCAATAGACAGACCACACTCTTAAGCTGAATAAAAATAATATATATACTTTTAAACACCAAAAACTTACTATTTAGTAGATGAACGAAGTTTCTTTAGCTTAGTTAGCGGGATAAATTGAAAATCATGTTATTTTCACGTTTTATCATTCCGTATAAGTTTATGTAAGTGATATGTATTCGACGAAATCACTTTTTCAAAACGTAACAAAAAGTCGCATACCATTCAAGCCCCATGAAAACAAGTCTCTTCATCAAAATCACATCTCATTATCATACTACTTGTATATGAATCTAATAGAGATAATGTGGCCGGAATAGCATAATCATAAGTTTGTGCCGGAATTGTAAATTTTATAAATTTTGCAATCAAGATTTATTACAGAATTGTGAAAGGTTTTACAGAATGGTGTAATGAGTTTTTTCACTGTAAAGTTTCGTCATCTCATTTCGACTGTAGAGTAAAATGCTAGGATTAAGATTTCATTTCAAAAACACATAATGAAGTTCCCAATATCTTAGAGCTATTAGCCATTATCTAAATGTTCTCTTTGAAACTAGTATATTAAAGGGCCCTATATTTAAACAAGTCATGCTTCAGAGGATATCAACGCATTGGTAGGAACCTTTTCACTTTGAAGGTCTTTGGAGTTGGCCGATGGTATTCTATGAAGTTTTAAGATCAAAGAAGTAGCTTCTTTAGCATTTTCATAGTTGAGGACCACAACCTTCTCGTTTTCTAAGTCCAGTCTTAAATCCTCGGTGCAGCATTTCTCTACCAATTCAGATAGATGTTTTAGATTCTCCACTTGAACTCCATTCACTTTTATTACCTGAATTCACCATAAATATAATTTTTTCAGCTACAAGAATTGTATGCATGTGGTCATTTTAGTCAACTATAGACCTAATTCACGAGTGCGAAACTATGATTCTCTTTTGTTATCATTTTGGGTCATAATACTTTATAATCAAGCTGGAATGAACTTTGATACGAATACTTCCTATTTCTTGATTTAGGAAATTATTTAGGATTTCGATTTTCATATTTATTTTTCTCATAGAGTTTTAATTTTACGTTTTATTATAAGTAAGCATGTGGTTTCTTTTGTGAGACTCATCCAACTCGAGAGTGCTTTGGAGGTTTCGAGCGGGTTAGGCCGAGGGAAGAGAACATAGTTCTATTCGGGGAATCTTATACTCTTACATATCCTTATTTTCAGTTACATAAATAGTGTCTTGGGTTTGGGCAGCCTCTAGTAAAGAGTTGTTCAATGAAATGCATTACCTTTAAATCATTGAAATCAGTGTATCCTGCATTGATGTCATCAGCTAACACCTACACCAAGAAAACAAATCCAGCAAGTCTAATGCCTTCATGACAACCAAACATTCAAATATTTTTAGTTCAAATAACAAACCTGCGAAATTATGACAAGCTGTTCACCAGCCTTTTCAGGCATATTTTTATTTGCACAATTGCAAATCAGAGTACTGTCAATGTATGGCTGTGTGAGTGGTACAAATACAAAGCCTGCGAATATGTAATAACTTGGAAGCTTATCATACTGATGCACTGGAACCAGCGGTGGCACCTGGATTCACCATAAAAAGAGTTTTGATGTTTTTGTTTGTTTGATAAACCCTATCAGCTAATCCGGTCATCTCCGGTGGAAACGCACCGAAGTGAGTTTTGATGTTATGAGAAAAAATTGTGAACCAACAACAATTAAACGAGATATAGAAAATTCTTATAAGAAATATGTCAATAAAAAAAGACTTACGGGTTTTAAACTGATGTGAAAATCATGCTCTTTCCCCTCTCTCAAAACTTTAAGTAAGACTGTTTCATTTAATTTCTTCATCGAAACAAAATGATTGAAATTGATTCGTTCCTTGTTCCGAAAAGCAACTACATGCAGCAAAAATGATGTCAATAATCCATCACACATGGAGAAACTTTAACAATGGAGTATAACATATATAAACGTACGATTACCTTTCGCATCATTTCCTATAAGAACATCATCAATTGCGAGAATGATGTCATCTTTTCTTAACCTTTTGTAAGCATCGGACAGCGGGTTTATTTCGTTTATAAGAATCCCTGTCATTTCAGGACCCATCTTAAAATGATTACGGAGTTGAGAATTCTCCATAAGTTGATAAGAAAGGTCTAGCGTGCAGAAACCACCATATTGTCCATTTTCTTCAACAGCAGTTAAAAAATGTGTTATTACTGGAGTCGGGATTATGTATCTGCAGGTGAAGTTAAACCACGAACTATATTAAATCGCAATTTCGAAGCTATAAACCACTTTTCTACGTTTCTTTTCCTAGACCATAAGCAGATGAATTATCCAAGATTTGAAGTATAAATTACCCTATATTATCTGAAGATGTACATTTTTGAAAAGCTACACCTGCCGTTTTATTTCCTATGATTGCTGGACCACCACTATTTCCAGAGTTTATAGCCGCATCTGTTTGTATAGCGAGTAGTGTAGTGCCTCCGTGAGCATATTGTGTATATTCAACTCTAGAAACATAACCTTTAGTAATGGAAAGGCTGTCACCACCTGCATAACATAAGTATTATGATCAAAATCCGCGAGCATTCGTCCTTTACATTCCAAATATCAATTAGTCCATGCAAATGCAAGTTTTAATATTTGAAGCATTTTCAAGAAATACCATGAGGGTAGCCTAAAACGGCAACAGATTCATCCAGAGAGGGTATCTCTCCGAGTTCCAAAGGGATCAGATCCTCCCAAAACTCTTCATTATCGATCTCCAAAATGGCCAAATCACATTCATGTCCAACCGCTCGAACTTCTGCTTTGTAATTTGTAGGTGAGCCATGTTTTCTAACTTGCAAAAATATGTGATCAGCAACTACATGAGCGTTCGTAAGAATCTTCTTTCCCGAGATTACAAATCCTACATCAGTTCCAAGTCAGTTAGGAAAATACTTAAAAGAGCTGGTAAGAATTATGGATAAACATCAATACCAGAGCCGCTGGATTCTTGCTGCTGCCAATTTTGCCAAGGTTGCAAAATGCTAGGCACGCTAGAGACAGTGAAGACCTTCACCACTGAATTTACCGCAAAATCAATAGAAGAAGATGTCACGTTTTCTGCCGCATCCGGTTGTTTTGTGTCAGTCCCTGATGCAAGTGTTGACTCGCTGTTGTGATGATTTTCGTCTTGCAATTTAACGTAACCAAGAAGAAACAAAGGAGAAAAACGGGATCCCATAACCGAAATGAGCAAGAAGCTACAGAACCGAGCCAATGTTTGAAGAAACCGGAACAACATGTTGAGCGAGTACGAGTAGGTTTGAGATTTAAAACAAACATGATTAGGTAATTATTTATACTGATATTAGCTTTATTGTCTTTAAATTCAAATTAATGTTTAGAATTCTAAGACTTTAATTAGCTTCCTTATTTATCAATTGTTTGATGGATACACTCATTTGTAATTTCCCTTATTATAGGAAAATATATCTCACATGCTTTTTTTTATTTGTAATAAGAAATACATGCTAACATATTATATTGCATTTAAGGAAAAAATATTAACTAAATTAATATTAAATCTCTAAACATCAGTATATAGTTAATAAATCTTATAGTATAATAATATAATATATTAAACTTTCTTATAAACACAAGTTTTGAGAAGCTTACACGTACTTTCTCTCATTTTGATATGTGTCATTTTTTAGGTGGGTCCAATCTTATTATCATAAAACAATTTATTTTAAGAGTATCTACAAATATACAAAAATTTATTTTTTCTAATTCTATAAAACAATTAATCTAACAAAAAATGAAACAAATTAGAAAAATTTGTTAGAAAAATAAGATTATATAATAATTGATTATTTTGAATGTGTAAACTTTTCAGAAATTTCTTTTTTCTTTATAATAATATCATTTAAAATTTAATTTAAACATTATTCAACGAACCATAAAAATATACAAATCAACAAACGCTAACTTTAGTGGTTTCAGAATAAAAATATTTCGTAAATTTATGTCTTTATAATAGAGATTTTTGGCAAATGTACCACAATCTTTAAAATTCTTAGCAAATGTACTACAGTGGAAATCAATTTAGCAGTTATACCACTTGTATGTGGTAGTGTGGTAATTTATGGACAATTTTACCCCTAAAAGATGTGCAGTATTATGTCAGATAGGAAGGACAACTTTATGTCAGAAGGACAGCTTTGTGTCAGAGAAGGAAGACAAAACATTGCATTAAATGCAGTTTACATTTACCATGGACAATAATTATGAAATAGAGTGAAAGATGTCCCCTAAAAATAAGTCCAGATCTCTGGCGAATAAAACCATACCATATGACGATGGACAACCATCATATTCAGGTGTCCCCGAATTTAACATAGTGTTGAATTTAAAAAGGATTATATAAAGAGAACATAACTTGTTCTCGATATAATTTTATTACTCATTCTATCTAAACTTGTTCTCGATAAATGTATTACTCATCATTATTAGGGAAAACTATCAATAATATCACTTATTAGGGACAAGTCTAGATTGAATCAATAGTAAAATTAGATCGGGGACAAGTTTCAATCGAATGAGTAATAGAATTATATTGAGGATAAGTTCAGATTGAATGAGTAGTAAAATTGGATCAAGGACAAGTTCCAATCGAATGAGTAATAGTATATCGGGGATAAGTTCACATCGTTTATTTACCTTTTGGGAATTATTTTAATTGTATGATTCAAGGGAAAAAAAGAGAGATAGATGTAAAATATTTAGAGAGAGAAAGAAAGAGAGAAGAAAAAAGATAGAGAAAAAAAATAAAAAATAAAGAAATAATATAATAGTATAAAGTAAGAAAAATAGATTTGAGGGTAAATTAGTCATTTTGTTTAGCAATGTGGTAGATTTGAAAAGGGGAAAGGAGAAGTGGTAGATTTGAAAGAATTTGAAGAAAATGTGGTATAGATGCTAATTTTCTCTTTATAATATATGATTTGATATTTTAATATTATTTTCTGAGAATAATAGAATAATGTGTGAAAAGATTCTAGAGGTATTCGGTTGAGTTTTTGTTTTTCGGCTTTTCTGTTCACTAATAATGGTAGCCAAATGAAAAGCTAATTGAGATGGTTTTGTACGGTTCGGTTTAAATTCTGGTTTTAAGTCAAATAGATACTTATTTACAGAAAAGCCTCGAGTTTATATTAATTTTTTTCTTTTTGTAAGATATGTTTCAGGTGGTGGAAGCCCCCTTGGCTCATTGGTTGACCAAGGGTTAATTAATGCTTCTACATCAAGATGTCTGGGTTCGAGTCCCAGATATTGCGATTTATTAATAAATTTGCAAATTAAAGGAGGCAAGTGTGCAGGAGATCTCCAGCGAAGTACAATTATAGATGTTCGCCAGGATTCCACGCAGAGAGAGAAGTGTCGTCAGATCGTGGATCATTGAAGGTGTCCGTCAAGAGCATGGATAAGGAAGTGTCGTCTGTCGTGGATCTAATAAGAGTCGGAAGGAATTGTCCGTTGTAGAATCGTCTATGTAACAGTTCTCATAATTTGCAATAAATAATAAATCTAGACGTCAAAAAAAAAAGATATGTTTCAGGTTTTAGACTGTGTATTTCCGTTCAAATCATATTGGTTTATCCAGATTGAATACCCTTAGATGAATCCAATTGATATGTATAATTTTCTGAAATCTTAACAAAGTTACATAAACAAAGAGGATATTTATTTATGCTTTAGGTAGAATTTATATTTTCCCTTTTCATGAATTATCTAGGTCAGAATAAAGCATAAATCATCAAAACTTAAAAGAAATTCGATTTCTGTTTTATTTTTGGATGACCAAGGTAGGCATGACTATGGTTACGGTTATTACGCTCACGGTTGATTAACCACCAGTTACGGTAAAAACAAAAGATTACTGGATTACTCCCCGCTTAACCCCGCTTAACCAGATTACTCCCTGCTAAAAATAATTGTTCTAAAAATTCCCGCCTAACCCGATTACTCACCGCTTAATCGCTAGGCCCACCCTATCCGCCTTGATTAATGACTAATCCCCTAAAGAAATTAGTTATCCGATTACTTTCCGCCTAATCTGATTACTTTCCGTCCAATCTGATTATTCTGCCTAATCTTACATATTCCGATTATTTTTAGATTGCAAGTATAAAAAAAACTTTTTATTTTTGTTGTCAATAATTTGTATTAAGAGTTTGTGATGTTTTACAATAACTTATGTTCAAATTTTAATAAAAATCATATTTTTTAGTAAAAATCATAAAAATTTGTCTCAAAAATACATTTTTATATATTTATTGCAATTTTGAAAACAATATTAGATTAATACGTTTTGAAATTATTAAAATAACCCTAAAACTAATTCCCGATTAATCCCCGATTTTAATCCAATTTTCCGATTAATCGCTTGGTCCATACCGAACGCCCGACTAGCGCCTAACGATTTTTCAAAGCTTAGGACGCCTTCTATACGCGTATGTTTTTAATTAAGAAGAACGTGATTTTTGGTTTCTGTTAATTGAGAATGTGAACGTGATTCAAATCTTATTTTAATTAGAATATTATCAGATACTAGAAAATATTTAATTAAAGTGATATACATTAAAACAATTAAGATATAATTTACTTATTAGATATTATCATCGTAAACTAACTATCAAACCAATTAATATTCATAAAGATAAGAAAGAAATATTCTGCTTAGCTAAATTTCCCCTGTAATAAATATATTAAACTACTCTTATCGCTTTAAAGCTTAGTCGTAATTTGCTACCAAGTATCAACTGCTGAGAGATTGAGAGAATGTCCTTGTTCCGCTCTGTTTGTACCGTGTCCCGGTTCTACATCGCCTCGAGCGCTCTCGTTCCTGGACTCCTTCGTTTCAATACTTCCAATATTCGCTGCTTTTCATCGGAGAAGTCAGTAGTACACGCACCATTGTTTGCTTCGGAAAACAGTATAAACTCGGTGCTTACGAACTCATCAATCTTGAGCATCTCTCAACATTGGAAGAATACGCTTCCGCAAGGGAAAAAAGTATCTGCTATTGATTTGGCTCTTAACTCAGTGGTGAAGGTGTTCACTGTCTCTAACAAGCATAGAACTTTTCAACCATGGCAGTTTTGTTTGCAAGATGAAGGCACCGGCTCAGGTAGTGATTAATTTTTGGATACCTTACGTATTTGGCTAGTAGTATTTGTTTGTTGTGGTTAAATACTTACCGTGAAATTTGTTGTAGGATTTGTAATCGCGGGAAGGAAGATTCTTACGAATGCTCATGTAGTGGCTAATCACACATCTGTTAAAGTCAGAAAACATGGTTCACCTACGAAGTACAAAGCAAAAGTTCGAGCAATCGGGCATGAATGTGATTTGGCCATCTTGGATATCGATAGCGATAACTTTTGGGAGGGAATGAACCCCTTGGAACTTGGGGATATACCCTCTCTGCAAGAAAAAGTGTATGTTGTTGGCTATCCAAAAGGTAAATTTTAATTCTCATATGACCACCCAAACGAATTACTTGTTAAATAACGATAAATATTGATTTGTGAATATCAAACCAAGAAGCTATGATTCATATGTATACACTTCTTTTAAATTCCATATACTTTCAATTATGAATTGTCTTGAGAAAAGGAATGCTATCTTGGATTACGTAGAAATTATAGCTATTATAAGAATATGTGCATATAGGTTGTGACAACAATTTCTACCATGCAGGTGGTGATACCATATCCGTTACGAAAGGTGTTGTGTCGAGAGTTGAACTCTTAGAATACAGTCACAGCGCCACTGAACTACTGGCAATACAAATAGATGCAGCTATAAATGAAGGAAATAGTGGCGGTCCGGTAATCATGGGCAACAAAGTGGCTGGTGTAGCATTCGAAACTCTAGGTTGTTCCGATAGTATAGGGTAAGTTAAATTATAAATCCTGAATACTTTTGGTTGCAGAATTCAGATTGAAATATTTATATTGATATGAAAGTCTATATATGTGGACATGATATATAACCTTATATTTGACTTTTCTATTAAATTGCAGCTATATAATTCCAACTCCGGTCATTAGCCATTTTTTAGATGCTGTTGAAGAAAGTGGTCAACATGTTAGTTTCTGCTCAATAAATCTATCATATCAGAATATGGAGAATGATCAACTCCGTAACCACTTCAAAATGAGCGACGACATGACAGGGATTGTTATAAAAAAAATAAACCCGCTTTCGGATTCATACAAAGTTCTAAAAAAAAATGATGTCATTCTCGCGATTGATGGTGTTCCTATAGGAAACGATAGTACAGGTAATTGTCACTATATTTATATCTAATTTTACCCGTTTTCACAATTTGACTAAATCTTTCCTTTGTGTACAGTCCCTTTTCGAAACAAGGAACGAATAACTTTCAAGCATTTGGTTTCTATGAAGAAACCATGTGAAAGAGCGTTACTCAAAGTCTTAAGAGAGGGAAAAGAGTATGAGTTTAGTATTAGTCTAAAACCCGTAAGTCGTCCTTCGCAAATAAATCTTTGTTTCCACTTTAACTGTTGTACGTTTTGTTAGAATCATGTGAATGATTTTTATGGTTATCTATTGTACGCATGCAGGTGCCACGGCTAGTTCCAATGCATCAATTTGACAAGCCTCCAAGTTATTATATATTCGGGGGTCTTGTATTTGTACCTCTAACTAAACCATACATTGATGATGCTTCTATTTCCAAATATGCTCTAGAGAAGATGCCCAAAAAAGCCGGTGAACAAATCGTAATAATTTCTCAGGTTGGTGCATTTTTTTTTAACACTTTTCAAACGTGATAATTAGGTTCCGAATGGAGACGGGTGTGGTTCCAATAGTAACGAAAATACATATATGTGTATGTATATATTTTCGTTACTATTAAAACCGCACCACACTTTATTCCTAGTTAAACCGCACATCTCCATTAGGCGCTTTAATTTCGGGAGTTAAAGTTTTTTTTGGTGATACAGATTCTGGAGGATGACATCAATACAGGATACAACATTTTTGAAGATTTGCAGGTAATGTATTTATTGCCTACACTTAGTTTCACACTATTTTTTTTTTTTTTAAACAGAAATTACAAAAAGAATATAAACTTGACACTGTAAAGTTTCTTTTATTAATAACGGAACAGGTGAAGAAAGTGAATGGAGTGCAAGTGCATAATCTCAAACATCTATATAATCTCATAGAGGAATGCTGCACAGAAAAATTGTTGATGGACTTGGAGCAAGATAATATTATCGCCCTCGATTATAAATCTGCGAAAAAAGCCACTTCTAAGATCTTGAAAAAACTTGAAATACCCTCGGCCATGTCCAAGGACCTTAAGCCTAGACAGTTGAATAGGCGCCGCAGAGTTTCTTGATAGAGAATTAAACATTAATTTGGCCAGCGGGTCAGCTTCTGATGCAGCTTTACCCTTTCAAGGATTGTCACATTACATTTTAAAGGAAATTAATAATTACAAGTTTAATTTTAGGTGTTTGATTTTCTAAACTTTTTTTTGTTATTACCAAATCCAATAATAGAGGATTATATAACTGTTATTGTAGAGAAAGTGATGTGGCTTCGGGAAGCCAAATTTTGGATGTCAAACTGACTCTTCACTCTTAAATAAGTTCTCTTTAAAAGAGCCTTTAGAAGCTCAACATTAGGGTTCGGCACAATGTACTCGTCTTCCCTTCAAACACTCTTTGATAGCCGTGGGAACTAAAACTTGCTGGTTTCGGCTTATCCAAAGAGCTTACATGCTTTAGTTTCGGGTCTGGGGGATTACGGGCTTTGGTCCAAAACCTCCTCGTATTAAATTCTGTTCTTGAGATGAAATGGGAAAATTCTTACACGTGGAGGCTATATGAGGATATCTCTCCGGTGGCCACAGAGTTCTTGATGCAGTGCTTTGCGTGGCAGCCTGCAGATAGGGCCACCGTGTATGAGCTCTTGGACCATTCTTTTGTTGCTGAAAATTAACCTTCCGTTTCTTCTTTCTTTCATAAGGAATATTGCCAAAACATGAGGAATTAGATTCCAAAACCACAAGGCTTGGACTAGTGAGAACGAAAGTGAAACATCCTCTGGTGACGGCTCTATGAGTGATTTTTTTTTTTTTATGTTTCGGTTAAGTTTACGTGTTTTCTTGTTTTGCAAGAAAACTAATTATTGTGACTGTTTTTTTTTCCCATCTTGCACTTTTGAATTTCTGTATTTGTGTAGCGATCGACAAGTGAGAATGTGCAGCTTACATTAAGCACACGTCATCTCTCCATCATCTTTTGGGGAGTGTATTTCAAAAATTTTATTAAATAAAGTGTAGTTTTTAAATTTAGTAATTCATATCATAGTGACTCGTGTCATGTTTATCAATAATTTTTTGACGCATATAAAAGGAAAAATTATATAATAAAATTATAAATCTTAAAAATATAAGGATTAAAAATATAAGGATTAAAAATTTTATTAAGAAAAAAGTATATACGAATATAATAAAAAGGAAATTATACAATAAAATAAAAATCCTAAAATTAAAAGGATCACAAATAGGGTACTATTAAAAAGTACTATTACTTATTTTTGAAAAATATTTTAAAAATTTACAAATAAGTAAAATGAAAATAATTACAAAATACTATAAAAGATCAACAATAAGGTACATAAAACAGAAAATAATACAGTAAATTACAAATCATAAAAAAGAAATTTCAATTACTATCTTTTTCAAAAAAATAAACTGAAAAGGAACCTATAAATAAAATAATTAAAGTATAAAATCTTGTTATATAATGTTTGATGTTTCAATGTTAGTAATTAAAATGATTGTGGCATGTAAATCAGGTGATAAGATTTTGACACATATAAAAGACTCCTCCCAATTTGATTTTCACGTCTTCTAACATAAAATGAAAATAACAAAATTTTAACATAAAAAATAAAAATTAAAAAATGATATATTTCACTAAAAACAAGTAACATTTGTTAAAAGGAAAACTTACTAAAAAGAAAAAATATCTTATTACATAATTAACATGATATGTTTTGGTTTATAGAACTTAGTAATTAACATGTTTGTGATACGTATCTAATCATATATTTTACCATGTATTATGATTTAATTTAAAATTTCTCTTATTTATTTCGATTTGCAAAAATTAACTCATATGTTCAAAAATTTCCTGTTAAATTAGGAAAAATTCTCAAATCTAAACATCCTCAAATATGTAACTCTAATTTCTATAACCTCGTGGAAAAATAGAAAGTCGAGGATATTTTATTTGTGTAATGTATGTTCAGTATATATTGTAAAGTGAGCATACAAATCGAACAATGTGTATTAAACTAAATAAATAAAATAGTTGGTGTATTTTTTCTAGGTATGCAAAAATTCATGTATATTTGTGGAAATCAATAAACACTATGGTTATGGTGTATTTTTGTGGAATTTTCCCTTTATCAATTTACTGACATCACCGTCCAAGAATGATTTAAGGAAATTTATAAATTTGACGAAAGAAAAAAAAAAAAAGAAAAAGAAATTTGAGACACACGAGAAAAGGGAATCTTGTGGAAGTTTAGAAGTCCATTTAAAAAAGAAACGAAGAAAGAGTTTTAAATGGAAGTTTGACAAAAGAAGAAATTGTAAGAATTCGAAACAAAAGTTTTGTATATAAACAGTTTAATTAGCAGCGCATCAAGAGCTCGCTTACTCTCTCTATTACAGAAAAAAAATCTAATTAATCGTGGGAAGATCCATAAGTTTAAATGTCTTTCGGGTCTATTCGTTGTCTTATTATTCGTTGCTCTAGTAACCTGAGCAATTTTCCAGGAACGGTAACACCGGGAATACCCGCGGGCTTTCGCAGTTTTTGTTCAAAGTATTCTGTTACTGATTTGGCGCTGAACTCGGTTGTGAAAGTCTTTTGCCGCTCTACCAAGTCTAGCGTGTTACAACCTTGGCAGAAAAGGCTACCACATAGATCGACCGGTTCAGGTAATCCGAAACTATATTATTAAGATTCATAGGTTTCTAACTTAAAACCAATTAATAAACAGTAAACTTTTTTTCCTATATTTTTAATATATATATATATATATATTTTATTTTTTTTAAAATATTCACATTAAGTAATAACGGTTACTTTTAGTTTGGTTTTTACATTTTTCTTTTCTATGTTTTGGTATGGTTTGGCTTATATGTTGGCTTGTACATGATGTAGGATTTGTAATCTCTGGAAATAAGATTCTTACGAATGCTCATGTAGTGGCTGATCACACTTTCGTGCAAGTTAGAAAGCATGGTTCACCAACAAAGTACACAGCAAAAGTTCAAGCAATGGGGCATGAATGTGATTTAGCGATTTTGGTAATCAATAGCAAAAAGTTTTGGAAGGATATGAAGCCCTTGGACCTCGGAGACGTACCCTCTCTATACGAAACTGTATCTGTTGTTGGATACCCTCAAGGTATAACTTAGATTATCCTATGAGTATATGAAAATTATAATAGATAGATCATACGGAAAGAATTATATTAGTAAACAGTTCGAAAAGTGCATTGCCTTGAGAGGAAAAAAGGAAAGAAAATTTTGTCTTATGTCTTATCTAAAAGAAAAATTGCTACTAGAATTATGTGATAGATCAAAACTTTTGCCGAAACTCGTGAAAAATGACTATTGATTTATGTTATGAGCCTAATTATGCAGGTGGTGACAACATTTCCATTACCAAAGGTGTTGTCTCTAGAGTTGAAGTTACAAAGTATAGTCACAGCCAATCTAAGCTAATGACAACACAGATAGATGCGGCTATTAATCCAGGAAATAGCGGTGGTCCAGTGATCATGGAAAACAAAGTCGTTGGTGTAGCATTTCAAGGTCTTTCACGCTCACAAAATACAGGGTGAGTTAAAAACACCTTAATCCAATCATATTCATTCCCTTTGATTGCAACTAACTTTTTAATTAGAGCAAATTTTTTTTGGTATGCAGCTACATAATCCCAACTCCAGTAGTTAACCATTTCTTAACTAGTGTTGAAGAAAACGGTCAATTTGTTGGGTTTTGTTCACTAGGTATATCATGTCAGCATATGGAGAATACTCATTTCCGTAACCACTTTAAGATGGGCCCTAAAATGACAGGGATTCGAATAAGAAAAATAAATCGGTCGTCGAGTGCTTACAATATTCTGAAAAAGGATGACATTCTTCTCGCAATTGATGGTGTTCCTATAGAAAACGATGAGACAGGTAACACTAGTATATATAACTTGTTCAATATGGATGGATTCGTATGTGACTAATCTCCGTGTTTATGTTACCTACAGTTATTTTTCGGAAGAAGGAACGTATAAATTTCAGTCATTTGGTTTCTATGAAGAAACCAGGTGAAAAAACGTCACTCAAAGTCTTAAGAGAGGGAAAGAAACATGAATTCAATATCAATATAACACCTGTAAGTTACTTAACGTCAATTATTCTTATCATCAAATATTTGTGATTTTTCGACTCTATATGTCTTTAATTGAAGAAGTCGCTAGCTAACATTTTGTGTTATATATCTATATATGTAGGTGGAATCACTACTACCAGTATATCATTTTGATAAGCTTCCAAGTTATTACATATTCGCGGGGTTTGTCTTCTTGCCTCTCACTAAACCATACCTCGATTGTTCTTATAGTATGTGCGATTGTGCATTGACACATATGCCCAAAAAACCCGGTGAACAGATCGTCATAATTTCTCAGGTATATATGTTCTTCTTTAAAAAAAAATTATTATAAAATCTCGTTGCGATAATATACGTTCAAAATGTTATTTGGAGCAGGTGTTAGAAGCTGACGTCAGTGTAGGATACGCCAATTTAACAGATTTGCAGGTAAGTCAATTGTGGCCTCAAATCATGTGTGTCATGAGTCCATGAGTTCGTCTCAGCTTTATTCTCTAAAATGATGGAAACTATGAAAAGATCTGAATCATAGTTCCACACTCTTGAGATGGTTTTTGTTGTTGACACAGGTGAAGCGAGTGAATGGAGTACAAGTAGAGAATCTGAAACATCTATGTCAGCTCATAGAAGGATGCTGCACCGAAGATTTGAGGTTGGACTTGGAAGGTGCGTTTGCTATCACCCTCAACCAAAATTATGCGAAAAAGGCCACTGCTAAGATTTTAAAACGTTATGGAATACCATCGGCCATGTCTAAGGACCTTCGATCTTAGTAATCGGATTAGAATTGAAGATGATCAGTTATTTGATTTTTTATTCTTTTCCTTGCCAATTCAAATGATATTTGTATTTTTTAGAGCATTTGCACTCATAGACGATGTTGTGTCGTATTTAAGAAAATGGATTTAGACTAGTAAACAAAATATTTGGTTATTATTTTTGAATGTTTTGGACACTACACCATTCATTTTACCGTTTTCTTGAAACATGTTATTTTAGTATATACTATGAAGACCCAATATGCGTTTTTTAAAAATTAAATTAAATTTAACAAAAAAATATTTTAAAATTTTGTTGTAAGTAGAAACAATATTTAGGAAGTATAAAGAATTTTTTAGTTAGAGTAAAGAGTTATTTATATATTCGTTTTTGTCTTAATAAACTAATTTGTATTTTTATATTTTGAATTATTGTAAGATTTAATACAATAATCTAGTAAATTTAACTTATCAATCACCAAAATATTTGCCAAATATTTATTATTATTATTATTGCCAAATCTCAAAAAGCGTAGTTTCGCAATCTCGCGCCTAAACTATGATTTCACAACTTCTTCAGAAAATGATTTACATGCAAACCAACAGTCAAACCGTCATCTTATTTATATCTATTTATAAATCTACTATCTATTTTACAAATAAAAATATGCTTTTACACCTAATAATTTTTTATTGTTGAAATTTGTTCTTTACCACCACCTATATATTACTTCAAACTATACGTCTCTTTACTTTCACTTTTGCAAAGTATTTTAACCAACAAAATTGTCGAATTAGAAAATATTTTGAATGAAAACTATATCATATAACAATAATTGATGATGCATTTATGAAAAATTAAAATAAATAGAAACTACTCCATTGTAGTGAATCTACAACCAATCAATAAAGTTGAGAAATAAAATAAAATTAGTTTGAAATAATAAAAAACCGCACATTGGGCGGGTCCTAATCTAATTTGATATAGATTATAGTTTGAACAGTTAATCGGATGAGAAGATGAGTTATATGAAACATTTTGAATAAGTCAAATACTTCATTTGTTTCACTTGAATATAAGATTTTCTACTTAAAATTTTAAAATTTTGTTCTCAATCTGCTGACACTTGAATCTGTTGTGCCACCAAGAAGACTAGCAAATGTTAAAAACTCGGGATTTCTCAATGCATGCTACAATGCAAGCGGTCTTCTCATATATTCCCTCTGTGAAAATTTATGTATAAGGTTTATTAACAAACCTTTAATATGAAAACCATCAACATCCTGAATTTCATTAGACAAGAAATACTTGATCCATCGTAATAAGGATACAATCGTATCAGAATGAAGCTTACAGAGATCATCGACAAATCAAAAGCACGGATCTTTCGCTTTCGTCACTTTTCTTCCGCCTTCGTGGATAACACATATTGTTCTGAACTTGCCTGCGTGATTACAGTAAATAATGCTCCCCATGAGAAAACAAAGGGTTTCGCTGCAGATATGTGTACGTTTCCGATTACTCTTTCTCTTCTCGTTTTGATTTTTTCCCTAGATGTAGTTAACTTGAGAGTTTTTGATGATTTTGATGATTTGTCTTCGTTAGGTTTTATGAATTATTAGGGTTTGGAATTAGCGTTTTGTGATTCATTGATCATCAATCAAAGCCGTTTCTTTCATTGTAGTATCAAAAATTCGATTATTCAAAAAAATTTAAGTCGATGGTTGGTATGTTATGAAATTCAAGTTGGTATGTTTGCTTCTCATTTTACCTTAGTTTTTTTGTGATTTTGGTCTATGTTCGTTGGGGTTAATGACATTCTGGAATTGAGAACTTTTAGCTTTTGCTGTTTCTGTTCTTGTGATCCTTTTATTTTGTAATTATTTTTTACGCATTGGTTCTTTGATGTTACTAATGAGATTATTTTTTTAGCTTTGGCTAAAGGTAAATATCCCCCTCTTTGAAGACGATATTGCCGAATTAAGCACTACAAGTATTAAAAACAATAGTTCAACGATTTAACATGGAGCGAAGGTATATATCTTTCAAATAAGCTATATTATTATCAACCCTATAGTTGATTGTGTAAGTTGGTATGTTAATCTTTTTTAAGCTATGGTTCCTGTTTTATTCTAGATATCCACAGATCTGCATGCTAATGTGAACAATGAGCTCAAAAAATTGAGGGCATAAGTTGATCGTACAAAATTTGCATGCTCTAGGCTGAAAAGAGGCAGAGATCGCTGGAAGCAAACCTTATTTCGCTTCGGGAGAGGGTGACGAAACTGGAACAAATAGGAAAAGAAGAGGTTTTACCTATTGTACCAGCATCAACTATGATAATGTTTGTGCATGAATTTTAATTTTTGTGATGTTTACTTTTATATTTAAGGTATTCTCTAATACTTCTTATTACTTCTCATATAGTACTATATACAAATAGAGGAAGTACAGAAGAAACAGAAGTTATCAGATGTTGTCGAGTGTTTAGAATTCAATCAAACTGTAATCTATGTCAAGAGCATAGGTAAAGCTAAGGATTTTGTAACGTTATATGTTTTGCATTGTGTAATGTTTAGGATGCCAGAGTTGGTAGATTAAGGGCATATGCAATGGTGCATCTTTGAAGTTTGATCTTAAGGGGAAAAAAATATTAAAATATTGTAAAAGCTTTAATTAAGATCTTTTGTAAAGTAATTGATTATTGGTAAAACATGTTTAGATCATCTGAATTAATAATTTAATAATCAAAAACTTTAAATGTTTTTTAAAAATTAAAAAAATTATTTTTAAAATTGAAAACATTAAAAACTAAACTTATATTAAAATTGATTTGAAAATAAAAAGAAACACAAAATACAAATGAAAAACATTAAAGATATAAATGAAAAACATAAAAACAAACAAACATATTAATTAAAGGTTACAAACATTTTATTTAATTAATACAAAGTTAAAAAGACTTATTAATTAAAGAAAAACGTAATCAATCAGCCTTCGCCACGTCACCACAAGAACAGACTTAAAACTGTTCTAGCCCAAGAACTAAACTCATGTTCTAAAGCCTGTTCTCAAAAATTATATTCACTAGAAAATGACCCACGCGTTGCGTGGGTTTAGTAATATATTATATTTTTATAGGAGTCAAATTTTTATAATTATAACAGTTGAAGAAGATAACTCTAAACGTTAAAAATTTGACTAATATCTGTAAAAAAATGTATATTTGATATTTTTTAGACAATTTGGTTTTTTTTTTTAATTGCATAATCTAATGTATAATTACACTTAAAAAGTTTCTATGAAAATATTAGTTTTTTTTTCATAACACTTACACATCTAACACTTAAATAAGGTTATTGATCTTCATCCGTGATAGAGTCATTAAGATTTCAGACCACTCTCTAGCCTACTATTTTTTGTGATTTCAAACCACTATTTGGCTTAGTGTTGTTCTTATTTTGAGTTATTAATTTTGTGATGCAAACTTAACATCGTCTTGTCAAATGTAAACATAATATACTTTAAATATGTTTTTTTACCAAATTTTTGAGTTAAAAAACATTGGATTTAAATGAGAAACTCTCAAATGTGTTTTTCTATTTGATTATGTTATAGAGTTGTAGTTCCACTTGAGATATATGTTACATAATTTACATATCACTTTTTTTAGTTAACAACTTACATATCACTTTAAGTATATTTTGTTATACAACTCATGGATAATATAACCATTATTATTATTATTTTTATAGAAGATAGATTATAACGTTTTTGAATTTTCATGATTTGTTTCTATAATTTTTTTGTCATCAATTTGTTTGTGTAGTTTCACAAAAAAGTGTGACTCTTTCAATGTCTTTGTCTTAAATGAAAAATTTTAAGTTCAGTTTAGTAACTTTTTTTAGTGAACATTTAATAATAAAGAAAATCTTGTAGTATATTGCTCTTATAAATTAATATTTCAATTTAAATTTTATTTTTCTCTTTAAAATTGTAGAAACACAATTACGTATAAAAATTTTACTCTACCATGCATTTAAATATGACTTCCATTCTAAAACTCATTAACTTATTCAAAAAATATGAAGTATGATCATTTTAAATTTTGTTTATGTTAAAAGTTGAATTATATTATTATTATTGATATAAATGCCATAGTATTACTTTCACAATTTTAAAATTTGATTTATTATATTTAATTCGTTTTTCTTTAATTAAAATTTCTATTAGTTATAACTAACATCAATATAAATAAATATGAATTAAATGAACATTGTAATTATATTTTAATGTAAAAATTAGAAAATATTGAGTAATGACATGGCTTTGTTTAATTGGATGTTTAACATGATGATGTGGACACCTTAAGAGGAGAGAAAACTCTCTCATTATATATATAGATTTAAATATTTAAGACCACCCCAAAAGATGGCCCGATAAATGTAGTCTAAGTAGAAAGGGTCTCGCAATCACATTTTTTGCATCTGAAATAGATTCTGAGGTTCTTAATCATGTATGGATTTTGATCTTATTTTGAATCTAATATCCACTTGATATTGAGTAGTTAAAGTAGTCATTTCAAGTTTTGGACAAAAGATAAATCTAAAATTTGGTTGTAAGTAGAAACAATTTTTAGGAAGTATATAGATAATTTTTAGTTAGAGTAAAGAGTTATGTATTCGTTTTTGCCGTAATAAACCAAGTTGTATTTATATATTTTAAATTTATTGTAAGATTTATCACAATAATCTAGTAAAATTAACTTATCAATCACCAAAATATTCATCATTATTATTATTGCTAAATCTCAAAAAACATAGTTTCGTAATCTCGTCTAAAATACAATTACACAACTTCTTCAGAAAATGTTTTACATGCAAACCAACTGTCAAACAATCATCTTATTTACATCCATTTATAAATCTACTATCTACTTTACAAAAAATATGTTTTTACACCCAATAATATTTTACTATTGAAATATGCTCTTTACCACCACCTATAGAAAATG